TGAGTACTAGATTCCCCCAAAAACCCAAGGCCGTAGGCCCAAAGGCCAAGGGCAGATAACTAAATAACAAGTATTTTTTGACGATATATTTTGCCCTGCTGCTCCACAACCGTTTGTCTGTTTACTTTCAAACCTTGCATGTATCTGCTGCTTCAGTTCCTTGTCATTGTTTGTTCTTTGACTTTGGTCATTGGTCATGTGCTTTGGCAGCCATATTGGATTCAAGGTTTTCACAGGTTTTTTGGGGTACCTGTCTTCAAATACTATCTCCTCTGAATCCACTGCATGAAATGCCTTCAAACTTTCTGAGAATTGTCTCCATACAGAACACAACAAATTGCCATTGCCATTTTTGGATATCTTTTTTAGTTGCGGCCATATTGGATTTTGATTTTGATCATTTTTTTCACCGAAATTTTACTTTTAAGATCATAGCTTGTAAGGTTCTTTACATAAACTATTGAAAGTTTGCATGAAGCTTTGAGACTATATGTAGCTCATTTTGTTTTGGGTTGCATACTTTAAGCACCACTGCTTGGTGATATTATTTTATTTAAGTAAAAAAAATCAGACTTGAGTACAAATACTGAAGGAAGCGCCTCATAAATCTACCATACACCCCCATTCACTGGCTTTGCAGATATCCAAGCGTTCTCCACAGTCTTGTTCAGTATTATGTGTACTACCCTTGACGACCAGGATTAGAATTGGCCTTTTTCAACCGATGCTTGTCTCAAGAGGCAACTATGCTTGTCACAGGAGGCGACTGATCGGATTGGGTGGTCAGACTCGCTGACTTGATTCTTCATTTCTCAATTGCCAATTGCTACGGTACCTTATTTTTGACGGCGTTGTTTAAAGCAAACCATTTGCGGATTAGAATATGGAGGTCGGAAATGGGTTAAGTACACTCTGGGAAACTGTGGCACACGCCATTTTGGTAGCGGCAATGTCCTGCAAACGGTGACTATCTTTTGACGGAGTTGGTACAAGCAAACTATATGCGGATTCGAACATGGTCGAAGTCAAACATGGGTTAAGAACACACTGGGACACGTGTGGTGATGTCTCACAAGCGGTTCCTTACATTTGATGGCGTTGGTACAAGCAAACCATATGGGGATTCGAACATGGTCGAAGTCAAACATGGGTTAAGAACAAACTGGGACACGTGTGGTGATGTCTCGCAAGCGCTTCCTTACATTTGATGGCGTTGGTACAAGCAAACCATATGCGGATTCGAACATGGTCGAAGTCAAACATGGGTTAAGAACAAACTGGGACACGTGTGGTGATGTCTCGCAAGCGCTCCTTACATCTGATGGCTCTGGTACAAGCAAACCATATGCGGATTCAAACATGGGTTAAGAACAAACTGGGACACGTGTGGTGATGTCTCGCAAGCGCTTCCTTAAATTTGATGGCGTTGGTACAAGCAAACCATTTGAAGTTTGAACATGGTCGAAGTTGGAAATTGGTTAAAACATCATGGGACGCCCAGGCACATGTCAGTTTAGTAGTGGTGATGTCTCACAAGAGGTTCCTTACATTTTACGGTGTTGGTACAGGTATGCCCTTTGAGGATTTGAATATGAACGAGGTCAGAAACAGGTTTAGCACTTTATCTCAGCAGTGCGACAGGAACACGCGGCCCGTACGAACGCAGAACGCAGAACGCTAATCCGTTTGACTGGAGCCCAACTGACAAAGAAGTTACAGCCTGTTAAAGAGTCACCAAGCCGAAAGGCTGAAGAGCCCCTGTGTTAGCGGTTGATTTAATATTATTATTATTCCGCCGATTTTTGTACCAGAGCTAGCGGAATAACCACTGGCTTGATTTTGTTAACATTTTGTATGTGCGTGAAGACCGTTGGGTACTAGTGCCCGCCAAAAACCCAAAGCCATAGGCCCAAAGACCAAGGGCGGATAACTAAACAACAAGAATTTTTTAAAGATATATTTCGCCCTATTGCTCCGCAACCGCTTATCTGATTACTTTGAAACTTTGCATGTATCTGCTGCTTGAGCTTCTTGGCATTTTTGGATATCTTTTTTAGTTGCGGCCATATTGGATTTTGATTTTGATCATTTTTTTTCACCGAAGTTTTACTTTAAAGATCATATCTTGTAAGGTTGTTGACAGAAACTATTGCAAGTTTACATGAAGTTAGTGTGCCATATGCATCTCATTTTTTGTTCTTGGTTGTATGCTAAAAGTAACACCGCTTGGTGGTAATATTTGATTAATATTTGGGACACCCCTGGAACACGCCAATTTCGTAGCGGCGATTTCCGGTGACTATCTTTTGACAGAGTTGGTACAAGCAAACCCTTTATGGATTCGAAAATGTTTCGAGGTCATAAATGGGTTTAGAACAGACCTGTTCACACGCCAATTTTGTAGCGGCGATACCCTGCAAGTGATGCCTACATTTGACGGATTTGGTTCAAGGAAACCCTTTGAGGATTCGAACATGGATGTTTGTGCACAGTGTTACTTGGAGCCCGCCATTGCTGCTTGCAGCTTTAATTGCATTTTGTTTTCATTCTTTTTCTGTAGCATTGAACAGAATCATTCTTGTTCCTCTACGTCTTGGTTGGGAAGTTCTTCAATGCGCGATGTACGTTGTTTTCACAAGTCTTTTCCTTTGTAAGCCTGTATATGTTACAGTCAGTGTTTAAAATGTGATTCACTCAGGCAATTTATAAAATGTCTAAATATTTCTGGGACCAGCTAGCACTATAAATCGGCATCAGTCCAGACTAGTACAAGCAGCCACACAAACACACACATGTACATGCACGTTGCTATATAAGTGGAATAATCTTGGACGCGACGTTAAACCCCATTTCCCCTCACCTAAATATTTCTGACATTTTACAAATTGACTGAAAAATTTGTCCATTTATTTAACAGATTGACTAAAAATTATTAAGACGTTCAAAAGGGCTTAAAACATCAGAATAGGTTAATTATGCTAGTACTAGAAGCCAAACAATATAGAAATGTACTTTCAATCCTAATGTAGCAGGGCAGTGAATGATGTGATAGCCAAACACACGCTACGGGTGAGAGACGTTTATTTCGCCAATGGATCTCTCACATATTTATCTATCTAATATGTAGTATCTAGTATCTACACCCCTGTGGGTGAGACTGGGGTGTCTTCCCGACTAGCGCCGCAACTTATAATTCCCGATATCTGATTTTAGATGATTTCACCTGTCAACTTGTCTGTGCAGGAAATGTGTGACTGAGAACATGCAGTGAGGCAAAGGGTCAACTTTGAGGGTTAGCTTGGCCAATCAGTTGAGCACGTCATGGCTTGGGTTTGTTAAGGCTTACAACATGAAGGACATATTAACTACATTTAATCTATCTGAACTAATGATTTATGTTTAAAATTGAACACTTAAAAGCAGATACTGAAGGTGAATAAAATAAATATGTACAATGTTGTATCTGTCACACTAACACTTTTAGTCACTTGGTGATGATATTAAACATAAAAATGTTTGGAATTTGTTATCATAATAATACAGATGGAAGTTTTCGAAAACTATATTTCATTTTGTTGATCAATGTGACCATATGCCCCTATTACTATCCATAAAAAGTGACTAATGCGCTTATGAATGGTGCAGCACAGGTCGCCAACTAGTCTACATTTCTGCTATACATCCGGATACTCAAGGGAAAAAACAATAACAAAGGCAACAACCAGTCCCGGGGAATTGCTTTAGATCAGTGCCCCTTTAACCTTGGGTTTCATAGCAGACAGACAAATAGTTAATTTTTGTCTTATCTTGGGCATACATACAACATAAAAATATACAGACTTGCTTTAGCTACAACAATGTGAGTTATGAGAGACAATCAGTTGTTTAAAATATGATACAAACAAAATTTTAAAATTCATGATGTGGGGCATTCATGAAATGTTGGTGATGGTGCTGCTTCGGTTTTTGCATATGATGCAAACAACTTTCTAGTTTACTCATTATACCCCCGTTTACGAAGTAAATCGGGGGTATATAGCGTTTCGTCCTTCCGTCCGTCCTTCCGTGCAAAGGAACCATGCACCCTAGCTTCACCAAACTTGCTACACAAATTTACCACAATGAGTACTTGTGCCTTTTGCTAGTTGTAAGATTCTGAACTTTTTTATTTTTGCTGTTTCCATGGAAACATTAAGAAATTTAAACTTTTAGGTTGGGTGTTTTGTACGGCCCATTTCTTTTTAACCATGCACCCTAGCTTCACCAAACTTGCTACACACATTTACCACAATGAGTACTTGTGCCTTTTGCTAGTTTGAACATTCTGATTTTTTATTTATTTTGGCCATTTCCATGGAATCATGGTGAAACTTAAATTTTGGGTAGAGTTTTTGTACGATCCATGTTTACAATATTATGTATCCTAGCTTCAGCATACTTGCTACATTAACCACTATGATTGTTTTTTTTATCTTTTATAAGATTCTGAAAGTTTTCTCATTTGCTGTTTTCATGGAAACATGATAGAATTTAGAAATTTTGATGAAAATTGTTTCCACACATGTAGATCATCATAAGTATCTGTGCTTTGTGTTAGTTTGAATTTATGAATTCTTTACCATATCTGATAAGGCTAGATGGAAATTATTAATTTATTAATTTTCTTATATGATATTGTTCCATTCTTTATGTGTTTTTATATCAACAATTTTTGGTCATTTTGATAATTCTTCTTATGTAACTCCTCAATCAAATTTTTATTTAAAGGTGTTCATGGTGATCTACTTCCTCGTAGTGAACAATGGTAACATGGGAGATTTGGAGGGGGGGGCAATTGTCACTGGAACTCAATCTTAGTTTTTAAAACATTGAAGTTAAAATCAGTTAGAAATATGTAATATTTCATTAATTAACAAACTATTTACTATTTGTTGTTGACCAGCAGGGATAACGGGGTATGTGAGCTTTGCTCACTTCTTTCTTGTTTTACATCTTTCCAGAAATCTCTGAGAAGAATTGCAATTGAAGAAGTTGGGATAGAAAGTCAAGGAGATGATGTTGTCACCACAACATTTAAACAGAGTAAATCGCTGCAAAGAATAACTGAAAAAGATAACAGGATGTTTCAGAAATTTGTGTCTAAATCAGATTCTCTAGCAAAATCAGTTAAACCTAAAGCTGTTGAGAAACTTGGAGATTCTGAATCAAAACAGAGAAATGCCCTCAGTGATGCAGAAGAAGGACATTCATCAAGCAGTGTAAGCTTGGCAACTGATGGAACATTCTCAGAATCATCAGACGACATGTCAGGAAAAAGTGTCCCGCAGACTTCATATCATTTCCAGTCTGATTACAAAGTGCTGAAGCACAACAAGGAAGCTTTCTTTCACTATTTCAAGGTAAGTGTTTTCCAAACATTGTCAGTTTTAGCTCACTGAGACAGGTGGTCAAAGTGTAATTATGACTGTCGTTCATGATATTATGTCCTTATTTCCACTCCTCAAAACCACACTAATATAACATGGCTTACTTGTTCCTACGAATGATGAAATGGAAATTCAATGTGAACTTATCTGTTTTCGTATCCAATAACAACTCAAACAACGTCACATGTACATACAAATATAACTCAAGCAGCCTAAATAGGACAAACAAGATTTGATGTTGGGTAACTCTTACTGAAATTTGTGTTCATATGTATGACTGAACATCAATTAGACATCAGAGAAACGTTTGTTTCTTCCTTTGGCACCTAAAAACAAGACTCTGGTCTCTAAGAATACCTTGGCGTTCTGTGTATGATCAACCATCTTGCAGCCCTGCACCGTTGTCTCACAATCCACTCGAGTTTTAATAAACATTGCAACTGTTTAATCCTAGATGTGATCTAAACATATTTTTGGGAAAAGTACAGTACATTTTTAACAACAGATGCAGAATATTTAAGGATTCTTTTTAAAAAAAATGGAAATAAAAACAAAACGTGCGGCGGACCTTATGATGATGCGGCGGTGCCTGAGAACCGAGAATATTATTTTTTTAGACTATTCAAACTACCTGCAATGGTGGTTCATCAGACATCAACATTGTGTCAAGAACTGTTGTCTTACATCCAAGAGTAAGGATGTGACAGATGAATATGGATTAAGGAAAATGTCGAGTTTGAGAAGACTACCGTATTCGACGTAATAAGCGCCCACGGCGATATTTGCTAATATATTGGCACGTGAACAATCCCAATTAGCACCCCTTCCAATGATCAATGTAAACAAGACTTCATTTGCGTATAATACGCACTCCTGTGTTATATGCACCATTAATTATGGGCAATTATATTCTGGAAAAATATATCTGCCTTTCATAAGCATTTCAGGCTGTCAGCATAAACCACAAAATTTATCTTTCAACTCTGTTTTTTTCCACCAAAATAATATTTTAATAAGAGCCCCCTATTTCTCATTTTGAGAGCGCCCTGGGCGCTTATTACATCGAATACATAGAGGTTATCACGCGAGTGTGTTTGGGGATGGTAAATATCCTGCATTAGGAATAAACATTGTATTTAGCGAGCCTTGGCGAGCTAAATACATAGTGTTTATTCCTAATACAGGATATTTACCATCCCCAAACACACAAGCGTGATAACCTCTTTATCATATAATGTCATTCTTTAATTCTGTGCTTCAAAATTGCTTTCCCTCTCTCACAAACATTAACCGAAACATTGCGCGTTTTCCTGGAATGCGCGCATTAATATTTATTACGTCACAGGGTAAGTGATGTGTCAGTCGGACAGTGACAGTAGCCAATATAGTTCCAACTGAAATCTATTTCTTATGTAGTGGCGAAGCAACATAAACGCAAAACAACAATCCATCGGTCTGTCCGCTAGAGTAACTGCCCTTTGTCAAAGGGAAGCTACTCTAACCCTAGTCTATGAGACGCCACGGTCAGACGTTGTTGACAGTCGGTCTGTCCTGTCATAACGTAAGAAGTGTAGTCAGATGTACACACAGCGACAAAACGAAACAAGGTAACAATTCAAATATATTTCAGCCAAATCCAACTATTTTAATTTGTGGAGCAGGTTTCAAGCCGCAGAGATCTACAAGCACAGATATGGCTACTGATCCCGCTTGGCTAGGCCTCGTGCCCTCGAAAAATTGTTTCGAAATTTATATCTCCAAAGTTGCCAAAACTTATAAAATGCCTTATCTACGTCACAGTTAGACACTGATTTTCAGTATATTAGACTGTGCTTTTGATAATGACAGCAATTATCCCTGTAGTTTATCCAGATTCCCGATGGTTAATTCTGACTCGATCGCCGAATGACGAGGGCGACGCCATGATTGTTTATGAACAGTGAAAGTAGTCCCTACTTGACCTTTGATATTTGCATCTCTATCCGCATATGCCCCCAACGGATATCGTTTTTATCCCCCGCCGCGCGAAAGCGCGAAGCGGGGGATATAGTATTCACGACCGTCCGTACGTCCCTACGTCCGTACGTCCGTCCGTACGTCCCACCTGTTTGTTGCCACGATATCTCAAGAACTAAACACTGGATTGTCTTCATATTTGGAACTATGGTGTATATACAGACTCCGCAGACACCAGTCGGTTTTGGTGACCTCGATCCCATTTTCAAGGTCACAGCAGACAAATCTGCTTTTAGAGTTGGAAAACGGTGTTGCCGCGATATCTCAAGAACTAAACACTGGATTGTCTTCATATTTGGAACTATGGTGTATATACAGACTCCGCAGACACCAGTCCGTTTTGGTGACCTTGATCCCATTTTAAAGGTCACAGCAGGCAAATCTGCTTTTGGAGTTGGAAAACGGTGTTGCCGCGATATCTCAAGAACTAAACACTGGATTGTCTTCATATTTGGAACTATGGTGTATATACAGACACCGCAGACACCAGTCGGTTTTGGTGACCTTGACCCCATTGTCAAGGTCACAGCAGGCAAATCTGCTTTTGGAGTTAGAAAACGGTGTTGCCGCAATATCTCAAGAACTAATCGCTGGATTGTCTTCATATTTGGAACTATAGTGTATATACAGACACCGCATACACCTGTCAGATTTGGTGACCTTGACCCCATTTTCAAGGTCACAGCAGGCAAATCTGTTTTTGGAGTTGGAAAACGGTGTTGCCACAATATCTCAAGAACTAATCGCTGGATTGTCTTCATATTTGGTACTATGGTGTACAGGCGGGGGATATTTCGTCACTCTGTGACAAATACTTGTTATCCGTTGGCTTTATCCTGCCGAGAAACCTACCCATTATATGATAAAGTAAGTCTTATCCATCATTAGTATCGCAACCACAGATGCCAACACTAGCTGTGGTCCTTCATCCATCATTTTGGCACTTTCTTTTTCACAAATATTTAAAACACACAATCACGTAGCAGAAGTTGGTTATAATAATTAGTGACCTAACTGAAAACACCAGTATTGTAATAATTCATGTCTGAATAGAATATTGTCTTCATTGTTATCTTTATATTTTTGTGATAGCTGACATGACCCTGTGGTAGGGGCGTAAGAACAAACAATTGAAACATGTGTCAAACCTCTTGCTGAATCCAACATAATGTAGAACACTGTCATCAATTGTCCCCTCAATCTTCTCATTAGTTTAGTGAGAAGTAACTGTTAAGAAGACATTATACTTTCTTGCAGCTCACTCCGAAAATTGGAGGAAGGCTATTTTTGCATCCCAGAGCTGGATGAATATGTCACAAATTCACAATCTAGACAAGATGATTCAACCTCCAGCTTCCAGCTCAGAGCTTCTTAGAGCCTTAGATTGTTGTATTGTATTCTGTTACACATTACGTGATATTGTGGATGCATGATAGACTTGTTATGCTGCATTCACCCAACTTTCACTTTGGGGGCCAAGTTTGTGTAAGAGTAACCTTATGTGGTTGTATTAGATGATTTGTTTTGGCACATATATATTTCCTTTTGTGATGCCAGGCATTCCACTCATGTTTCCCCCTCCAGTACATCACCTGTACAGATGCCTCGAGCACATTTAGTTTGCCTTTAAGGCATGGAGTCCACAGCAACACCAGTCATCAGTATTTGTGGCAACAGGCATACATCCAGAGGCAAGGAGGGACAAAATCATAAATTTTACTGAATGAGGTTCAGGTTTGTTCGACTCAGCAGACTTAATCAGCTGCAGATTGGAGGCTCGCAACATACCAGGGAAATTGAATATCCTAGCAGAAGGATAATTCTCACAGAATGGCCTTTTGACCCAGAGGTATTCTCTGTTGCCACAACCACCCTGCACATCGATCTGCTTGTCACTTGTCTAAACAACTACATGTAGTTCCAAGCTATGTCAGCCCAGTTCCTAACCCACTAGCTCTTCAGATAGATGCAGTGTCCAAGACATTATCTTTGCAAACGCCTTCTCTCCTTGGCCTCTCCTTGACTGAGTAATCAAGAAGATGAGGAGACAAATTGTGTCAATATTTTGGTAGCTCCATCATGGCCTAACCAAGCTTGTGACCCAAGGTTATTTCCACTACTGATGGAGAAACCTCTATATAAAAGCTCCCAGAGTGTCACTGTGAGATGTTCTGTGCTGGCCAACATCAGACATATTTCTTGGCAACCTCCAGTACCTCCACCCACTTGCTTGGAAGTTATTGAGTCAAAGATGCTGGCTGCAGGATTCTCTGAGTCTGCCTCTACTACAGTACCTTCATCAGTGAGACCATCATCTCAGTTGAGGAAATCTCAGGTCACATACCTGTAATATTGCTGAGTGAGGCATTAAGCAACAAACAAACAAACAAACAAACTGTAGTGTCTAGTTTTTAGTAAGCAGAAGTTGTCTGTGTTTTTAAGAAGCGGATTAAAGAGAATAAAGGAAGGGAATGATCTGAGAACATGAGTGTTAGTTATCCTTTACAAGGAAGAACACAAATATGTTAATGGTGACGAGTGGGTGAACAGATGGAAGAAAACAGTAAGCAGTTAAAATACAATACAATGCAGAGGAAAGAAACAGAAAACTTTGATTAAGATCAACTTTTTTTTCTACAGTTTGATATAGACTCTGACAAAAGTAGTATCAGCCCTAGATGGAAGAACTATTTAGACAGGTTGGAAAATTGGTTTGTTGCTATGAAACTAAAGGACGAGGAAGACGACAATTCGAAACGTGCACATCTACTAAATTACACTGTTGAAGCGGTGTATGACATTTATGTTGCAAACATGTAAAGGTGTTCAGAACTATGAAAACACGAAGAAAATACTCAAAGACTGCATACAAATGTTCAAGTGGAGGTATTTGTATTTCGCAGTTCCAAACAGAAACCTGGACAAACGTTGGATGATGGGGTGACTGAACTGAGCTT